GCAGTAAGTAGCTGACAAAAAAACTCCGGTATTGATCATATATATATATAATATATGTTACCCTCGATGTTACGCAGGAGTTGGCTGACAGAGAGCTGAGACAGACGAAGCTGGAGACGGAACTAACGCAGATGAAGGCAGAGAGCGTGTTGCAGCAGCAGCAGCTTCAGCAGCAGAGGGCGGCCATGGTGGAGGACTTCGAGGAGCTCCTAGAGTCAGAGCTGCAGTGCAGCATCTGCTCAGAACTCTTCATAGAGGTAATAAAAGATAGAGTCATAAACTCATAGAGTCATTGCTCTCATAAAACCCATAGAGCTTAGTAAAGAATTGGCTCTATAGCAATAAATCAATGATAAAATAATAAAAAATGAAAAAATAAAATAGAGGTAAGTAAAATCAAATAAGCTCTTCATAGAGGTAACGCGGTGCGCGCAGTCTAGTAAAGAATTGGCTCGATAGCAATATATAATCGATGATAAAATCGATCAAATAAAAAAATATTTTTTTAATTTAAAAATAAAAATCAAATCAAATAGCAAAGATCGAAGTAAAACATCGATAACTATCACCGATAGTTCACTGAACAATCAGATAGTTTTCGATAGTTGTGCCATTTAAACGCCAGGTTAGTTTATTCACAGCGAAAGATGGTTTCTGACGTAAAAATATGCTTAATAAATTAAAAATACGCGTCAATTGATGCTCAATAGCATGATCGCTAAAAAAACGCACAGCTTTAAAAAACAGTCCTTACCTAAATGCATTTTGTTATGCATTCTCTGCTCAATCAGGATACATTCATGGTTCCCTGTAATGCGTTGTTCTAATGATTCAATGTCAATATACTCGTGAAATCGTAGTCCCGTTCATTTGGCATCTGTATCTATCTACCTTTGTGTGTGTGTGTGTGTGTGTGCGTGCGTGCGTGCGTGTGTGTGTGCGCGCGTGCATGCGTGTGTGCATTTACGTATAAGTAGTTGTTGTCATGGAGAATTGTTTGTAATTGACGAAATTGATCAAGCGGAGCACCGCTGCACTCAGCGTTTGTGTAATGTAACATGAAGTCGAGTCATTGTTTGCTGCCTGCAAGCGACCAAGCTTCTCATAAGTAGTTGTTTTCGTTGAGTAATTGCATCAAATGCATATATATATGCATTTACGTCTTATTAGTTGTTGTTGTAGAGTAATTGTTGCCCTGATGAAGCAGCCATCGCTGCGCCCAGCGTTCGTGTAACGTAACATGAATTCGAGTCGCTGTTTGCCGCCTGCAGGCGACTAAGCTACGCATAAGTAGTTGTTTTTCTGGCGTAATTGCTGTCCTGATAAATCAAGGATCGCTGCACCATCGTTCGTGTGTTCGTAACTCGGAGTCGTTTTTCGTGGTGCATTGTGGATGGAATGATAGCGTTTAATTGCATTATAATTTGGTCTTGTGTTATGAGTTTTCATTTTACGACCCTGTTTTACTGGAACATAACCCTGTCGTAAAACGGGACCTACCTATATATA